CTTCACTGATGATTTTTCTCGTTGTACATGGGTCTTTTTAATGCAAAACCGTTCTGAAGTACATAATGTTCTTCAAAAATTTGTTAATGAGATAAAAAATCAGTTTGGGGTGTCTATTAAAACTTTACGAAGTGATAATGCTGGAGAATACTTTACAACTCCTTTATCTAACTTTCTTGATTCAGCGGGCATCCTCCATGAGTCATCTTGTCCCGATACTCCACAACAAAATGGGGTATCTGAACGTAAAAACCGGCATCTCGTTGAAACAGCCCGCACCATGATTATCCACTATAAAGTCCCTCCAGAATTCTGGGCAGATGCTATCCTTCATTCCTGTTATTTAATAAATCGTATGCCTTCATCTGTTTTACATGGTAAGATACCTTATAATATTTTATTTCCCGATAAGCCTCTTCATACTTTTCCTTTAAAAATTTTTGGGTGCACTTGTTTTGTCCGGGACACTACCCCATGGCGTGATAAATTTTCTCCAAAATCCTTAAAATGCATGTTTGTTGGGTACTCTAGGTTGCAAAAGGATTTCAGATGTTATTCCCCTGATAAGCATCGATTTTATGTATCTTCTGATGTTACTTTCTTTGAATCAACACCTTTCTTTTCGTCTAGTTTACCGACCTCCATCTCTCATTTTCCTGATGTTCTTCCTGTTCCTACTTTTCAAGGAGGGACCGAGGTACATTTACCTCAAGATCCGTCATCACCTAGAAATCCTAGTCCCTCACCTACTAAACCTCCTTTACAAAACAACGTTGTTACCCCCTTTCCTTACACTTATCATCGCCGCTCTCGACCACCCGCGACAGTTCAAATCGATGAAATCCCAACTGATTCATCTCTCGAGCTATCTATGCCCTCGAACCCGGTTCCGGCAACAAGCTCTCCTATTGCAAGTCGTGTAGGTAACAGGTCATCACGAAATCCATTTCCCATATACAACTTTATTTCATATGATCGTCTCTCACCTTCATATAATGCTTTTATCACATGTTTATCTTCTGTTTCTGCCCCTAAATCTGTTAAAGAAGCCCTTTCCCACCCTGGTTGGCGTCAGGCTATGGTTGATGAAATGGCTGCTCTTCATTCATCGGGAACTTGGGAGTTAGTTCCATTACCCGAAGGTAAAACAACTGTTGGTTGCTGATGGATCTATACTGTGAAAGTTGGGCCCAATGGACAGGTTGATAGACTTAAAGCTCGACTGGTAGCTAAAGGATATACACAGGTTTTTGGGATTGATTACACTGACACCTTTTCACCAGTAGCTAAAATTGCTTCGGTCAGAATCTTTCTTTCTATGGCTGCCGTTCATCATTGGCCCTTGCATCAGTTAGATATTAAAAATGCCTTTCTGCATGGAGATTTAGAGGAAGAAGTCTACATGGAGCAACCTCCTGGGTTTGTTGCTCAGGGGGAGAGTAACTTGGTTTGTAAGCTCAAACGTTCTCTCTATGGTCTAAAACAATCTCCTCGTGCCTGGTTTGGACGGTTCAGCATAGTAGTGCAAAATTTTGGTTTAAATCGAAGCAAAGTTGACTATTCCGTCTTTTATAGACATCAACATGGTAAGAGCATTTATCTTGTTGTATATGTTGATGATATTGTCATTACAGGAGATGATGTTGAAGGAATACAATTGTTGAAACAACATCTATTCCAACATTTTGAAACAAAAGATCTGGGGAAGTTAAAATACTTTTTGGGAATTGAAGTAGCACAATCCAAGCAAGGAATTTGCATATCACAAAGAAAGTATGCATTGGATATACTAGAAGACACAGGTATGATGAATTGCAAACCTCTTAACACTCCTATGGATCCAAATATCAAACTCCTACCAGACCAGGGGGAGCTTATCCAAGATCCGGGAAAATATAGACAATTGGTTGGAAGATTACTTTATTTAACTGTAACTCGACCTGATATCTCTTTTGCGGTAAGTGTTGTTAGTCAGTTCTTGGCATCTCCACGTGAAAGTCATTGGGAAGCTGCCATTCGGATTTTACGATATATTAAAAAATCTCCAGGCACTGGTTTGTTATACAAAGACCATGGAAACCTTGAAATTATTGGGTACACAGATGTAGATTGGGCAGGTGCATGGGATAGAAAATCAACATCTGGATATTGTATCTTTCTTGGTGGCAACTTAATCTCTTGGAAAAGTAAAAAGCAAAATGTTGTTGCTCGATCAAGTGCAGAAGCCGAATATCGATCTATGGCCGTTGGAACATGTGAACTTGTGTGGTTGAAAAACCTCCTTACCGAACTGCAGATTTGTACAAAGGAGTCCATGAAGCTCATTTGTGATAACCAAGCAGGTTTGCATATTGCATCAAATCCAGTTTTTCATGAAAGGACGAAACACATTGAAATTGATTGCCATTTTGTTCGAGACAAAGTTACTTCTGGAGATATTACTACATCTTTTATAGGCTCAAATAATCAATTAGCTGATATATTTACTAAAGCTTTAAGAAGTCATAGGATTGAATACATTTGTAACAAGCTTGGTGCATATGATATACATGCTCCAGCTTGAGGGGGAGTGTTGAAACACAAAAGTTGTGTCTGTAGAAATATAGCTGTTGAAGTTGTGTAGGGTTGTGTCTATTAGGATTGTGTCTCTTAGTCTGTATATATTTATCTATTGTCTCCTCATTGAGACAAGCAAGTAATAAAAACTTCTTCTACATCTTCTTTTTCAACAAGCCGCATGTATTTGTCTAAAATCCGACTTCGAATAAAATGCCTACTGCTTTTGCATCTCGGCAGTTATTTCTAAGTAAGAAAAAGCCTAAAGGGTCGCCTCGACTGAGGGACTCGGCGAGAAGAGATAGGAAACAAGGGCACTGATCCTTAGACGTTTCCGAGAAAAAGCCTACAGGAGTCGCCTCGACTGAGGGACTCGGCGAGAAAAGATAGAAACGACGGGGCACTGACCCTAAACAGTTTCTAAGTAAGGAAAAGCCTAAAGGTTCGCCTCGACTGAGGGACTCAGCGAGAAGAGATAGGAAACAAGGGCACTGACCCTTAGACGTTTCCGAGAAAAAGCCTACAGGAGTCGCCTCGACTGAGGGACTCGGCGAGAAAAGAAAGAAACGACGAGGCACTGACCCTAAACAGTTTCTAAGTAAGAAAAAGCCTAAAGGGTCGCCTCGACTGAGGGACTCAGCAAGAAGAGATAGGAAACAAGGGCACTGACCCTTAGACGTTTCCGAGAAAAAGCCTACAGGAGTCGCCTCGACTGAGGGACTCGGCGAGAAAAGAAAGAAACGACGGGGCACTGACCCTAAACAGTTTCTAAGTAAGAAAAAGCCTAAAGGGTCGCCTCGACTGAGGGACTCAGCAAGAAGAGATAGGAAACAAGGGCACTGACCCTTAGACGTTTCCGAGAAAAAGCCTACAGGAGTCGCCTCGACTGAGGGACTCGGGGAGAAAAGAAATAAACGACGGGGCACTGACCCTAAACAGTTTCTAAGTAAGAAAAAGCCTAAAGGGTCGCCTCGACTGAGGGACTCGGCGAGAAGAGATAGGAAACAAGGGCACTGCCCCTTAGACGTTTCCGAGAAAAAGCCTACAAGAGTCGTCTCGACTGAGGGACTCGGCGAGAAAAGAAAGAAACGACGGGGCACTGACCCTAAACAGTTTCTAAGTAAGAAAAAGCCTAAAGGGTCGCCTCGACTGAGGGACTTGGCGAGAAGAGATAGGAAACAAGGGCACTGACCCTTAGACGTTTCTGAGAAAAAGCCTACAGGAGTCGCCTCGACTAAGGGACTCGGCGAGAAAAGAAAGAAACGACGGGGCACTGACCCTAAACAGTTTCTAAGTAAGAAAAAACCTAAAGGGTCGCCTCGACTGAGGGACTCGGCGAGAAGAGATAGGAAACAAGGGCACTGACCCTTAGATGTTTCCGAGAAAGAGCCTACAAGAGTCGCCGCGATATAAGTACTCGGCAAAGAAAATTTTAACACATGGACAAGAATTGCATAAGTTAAAAAGAAAAGATGCAAGAAGAGCACCAAAGGAAGATTTCATTCATGAAAGTCCGAAGGGCGGATTAGCCCTTACAAAAAGTTTATTATAAAAAAAAATCTAAACTACGGGAGAAGATAGATCAGCGTCGACCTCCTCGACTCGCTCCTCTGCCGATGTTCTAGCCGGAGGGGCAGGTGAAGGGTCTTCCGCTGGAGGCAGCGGCTCAATCGGCACGACCGGATCCACCACTGGTAGGGCCGCCGCCGGGGAAGGGTCAGCGGTTGCAACGGCTGCCTCGGGTGCCAGTAACAGGTCTAGCACCGGCTTGAAGCCCCAACCCTTAGGAGTAAAAGTTGGGTCCCGGGCCAGAAGAAGGCCATGTATCTCCAGCTGCGCCTCACGGAAGCCCAAGCGGTAGTCACGCTCGCCGAGATCCAGCAAGTAGTCGTCTCCCTCTAGGGTCACCAGCCACTCTTTGCCAGCGCCTCTCGACGACCCTCGACCGCCGACTTCACGTCCGCCTCAAAGGCGGCCGACTTTTTGTATTCAGCAACGGCGGCGGAATTCGCGGCGGCAGCCTTGTCTCGCTCCTCCTCCCACTGGCGGGTGACCCTCAAGAGCTCGGCTGTATAGATCTCCCTCGCCTTGACGAAAGCAGCCTGCTCTTCTTGGTGAGCCTCCTCCGATTAGCGCAGACGATTGCCAAGAGCCTGCAACGTGGTCTTGAGTGCCCTTATCCTCTTCCTCATCTCCAGCTGGAAGGTGATGTTCTGGGAGAAGAGACATGTTAGCAATAATTCAGAGTAAAAAGTGAAGTCAAAAGGTAAAAGACGATGAGAGCTTACCCGGTAGGGCTGGCGCAGAGAAGCCTCCAGGATGTACTCATCCTGCATCTTGTTTGCCGCCTCCAAATCCTTGGGAAGGAGAACGTGCTCGGCCCATTTCTGAACCGAGTAGTCGCCCTGCCATATCTGAGCGTCCTCCTCGAGCTCCAAGTTCAGCTAGATTTTCTTCGGCTGAGGTGCATCCGACTGCTCCAGCGGGCGCTTGGAGCTTGGGTTCTCCGTTGGGGCCGGAGGCGGAAGCCTGGAAGGAGAAGTAGTAGGAGAAGGCGACAAGTCCACAACGTTCCTTGGTGGAGTCGGAGTCGCCCGGAGAGCTGGAGAAGGAAGAGAGGCGGAAGCTGCTGGGGTGCCAGACAAGCGCTGCATCAGTCGACGCCTCATCTTCTCAGCACGGTCGGCTATGGCTGGGGTCGGAGCTTCAGCTTCGTCCGAACTCGTGGGGTCGGAGTCGTAGGAACCTGCACAGATTGGAAGAGTTAGCATCTGGACAGAGAAAAGAAGCGAGGAAAGAGATGGAGTTGCGAAAGGCTACCTGTGGTGGCCGCCCCAGTAGGCAGGAGACCCCATTTCGCCATGGCCCGCACTCAGGACCAATGCTTGGCGGAATAGGGCCCATGCTCTTCAAGAACTCGGCGCCCTGGATCGCGTCCGGGGTGAAGACAACGCGCCGGGAGCAGGGTTTGAAGAGAGCAGCCAGCCACATGGTTGGGAAGGTGAAGGTTGAGAAGGAAGGATGAACAAAGAAAAAATAGGGCTTCCAGTCCTTTATGGAATCTGGAAAACCCTCAAAAAGTTGACGCCCAGGTCGGGCTGAAATTTGGACGAACCCCGGGGAATGTGAGCCAACCTTGTTCACTGTGAACAAACACCTGAAGAGATCCAGGTCGGGCTCACAAAGCCACCAGTGACAGAGAATGACGAAACAGACAAGGAGGCGGTGTGAGTTGGGTACGAGTTGACCCGGGACCAAGTTGTAATGACGAAAAAAGAGGGAAAGAAATGGAGAAGGTGGCACTCGAAAGCCAAATGCCACCGAGTGCAGATGGGCGCCGACACAACCCTCCGGCGGGTCGTAAATCGACCGGCTTTCCGGTGGAAGAACGGTGGCCGATGGGCCTAGAAGGAAGCGGACCATCTCGAGGTCTGCCTCAGTAATCAAAGACGGGGACCCCGCCGGACGGGATATGGGGTCAAACTTTCCCATCGGCCGTCGGAGACTGTCTGGAAGGGCCGCCACTGTCGTAAGTGGGGTCGGACTCAAAGGAGTAGCCGCCCTAGAAGAAGAAGGGGCCGGCTGTGAAGAAGACGTCGATGGAAGGTTAGACGGGGCCTCCATACGACGAGGCGGGGAAGAAGAAGACGAAGTAGAAGAAGAAGAAGTCGAAGTGGAAGACACCGCCGAGCAGCGGGAAGATGAAGAAGAAGAGGACATGATCGAAAGTCACCAACCTGAGAAGTCTCCGGCGAAGGGAAGAAGAGAGAGAGAGTCGTAGCCGATTTGGGTTCTTTGTGAGAATTTTTTGGATGAAATGTGTAAAAGGAGAAGGGGGAGGTATTTAAATTGGGGAGAATCCCAAGAGACTGCCACGTGTCGACCACCTACTGGGAGATGGGAAGAGCCGATGGGATGTGAAGGGACGGCTACAATAAATGCCCTCAAAAGATGGAACGACGGTTAAGGCTAGGGTTAGCCTAAGACGGCGCGTCTGTAACCCTAGGCCTAGGACAAGTTGAGGTGACCCGGCATACCTAAGTAAGGCCCATTCTCGGCCACGGCCTCTGGGCTGCCCGGGTACGGGTCGAGCCGACTAAAGGGCTGACCGCTGGGCTGATCCCACCAGTCGACCTAAATAGTTCTGGGCAAGTACAGGACCCGGCGCCAGCCGAGTCCCTCAGTCGACATGGAGTCGACACCGACCTCAACCCGTAGCAGAAAATAAAAATACAGTCGACCGAGGAGTAGTTTGGTAACAGCGGTATATAGTCCACCTTCCAGAAAGTTCGAGAAAGAAACAAGATGAAATAATTTATTGATTGCGGATAGATAAAAGCCTACATCTCGGCCAAGTTACAAGTTCAAAAGAAAGCATGGAAAGGGAGCTTAGGGATTGGACTTCTCTTCTGCCAGACGAGCAGGAGGCGGACCCTCTAAGAACAGTTGAGGGCGTAAAGGAGGTGGAGTCGGATCTAGTTCCGGCACGTCGTCCAGGTAAACTGCTGGCTTCCCATCGTCAATCATTTGAAGGGGCCTCTCAAGGGCACTGGGAGACATGGCCACCCTAAAAAGAGGAGGAACCTCCCACACTTCTTCTTCATCCAACGCCGCCTCCTCTACTGCTGGCTCCACTTGCCGGCCAGTCGAGTCTATTGGAACCACATCCAGCATGTTCGGAGGAACAACAATGGGATCTGAGCTGGAGTCGCCCACCAAGCGGCCACCATTGGCCAGCCTTTGCTACCTTAGCTTTTCCAATCGAGCCTGCTCCTTCTGGCGGATAGAGAAACGCCGGTCACCGATTCGATAGCTCATGGCGAGAGAGGCGAGACGCAAGGAGTTGCCAGAATAGAAAACGATATGGAAGACGAATGAAAAAGGGTCCCTTTATAGCCCAAAGGGAGCGAATACCAAGGAGTAAATCACGGAAGGGAATCTTAACTGCCATCCTCGAGCAGGGTGAGATAAGGTGCAGGAATCTATGTCAGGGAAGGATCCCATCAAATCCGCTCGGGAAGAGCAAGATTCGCGCTTTGACCGAAAAAAGTAAGATCTCCCAAAGATACTGGAAGATTGCGATTGTCAGACCTCGGGATAAGATATTGGTCGACTCGGAGACTGGCCGAGTAGTGAGCCTAATCGAATAAAGCGAAGAAAGATAGTCGGCAAGCAAAAAACCACATCTCTTTTATTCATGGAAAGAGCAGTACATCACGGAGAAGGAACTTTATTACACGTAGACGACTATATATATATATATATATATATATATATATATATATATATATATATATATATATATATATATGTGTGTGTGTGTGTGTGTGTGTGTGTGTGTGTGTGTGTGTGTGTGTGTGTGTGTGTGTGTGTGTGTGTGTGTGTGTGTATTCAAATGAGGACAAGTATATTATAGAGGACTGTGAGGATAGATGTAGTGTGTGCCATTAGCCGGTATGTCGTGTGCATGGCCGAATGTAGTCGTGTGCCATAGTTTGTATGTCGCGTGCTAGATTTGTTAATTTATAGAGTCTGGGTTCGAAACCTGATGTTTACATTTATTCTTGTGTGCCATTATGTATTAAGTTGTGTGTCTGGTATAAATTTGTTGTGTGCCCATTATTTGTCCTCACAGTCCTCTATATATTGTTGTCCTCATTTGAACTCAACCATATATATATATATATATATATATATATATATATATATATATATATATATATATATATATATATATATATATATATATATAAAATGTTCCTCTCACCGCTCTCCACTAGACTTCACTCAGCGCCACGCCCTGCCACTGACAGACCTCAGATGGCATAATCACTCGTCTGGAGAAGAAGGCTCGTCTCGGAAAAACATCTCCTCCGATGGGCCGGTAGGGGATGGACAAAACGAGTCCCAAAAGGCCAGCATAAGAGGTGGGACAACGGGCGCCTCGTCACCCGGATACAGCTCCAGGTAGCAAGCGAAGTAGGAATCAGTCATCAGGTCGGTCGCCGGCCCGTCCAGGTCGTCCAGAGGGATGGTGAATGTCATCTTGAAGGACAGCTGCTCCGGAACCGCCACCTCAACAAACGACCCGTCCTGAGCAGTGACCCGAGCCTTAGTCTGAGATGGGGGGTCGGCTAGGGATAGAGAGTCTGTCACGGGGGACGGAGCCTCAGTCGACGGCCTAGATACAGAGGAAGTAGCACCAGAGTGATGTCTTCGGGAAGAGGGAGGAGGAACCTTCTTCTTGCCCTCTTTCTCAAGTCTCGACCGCTTGGAGTGGGAGGGGCGAGACGACGACCCAAAGTCAATCTTTTTCCCTTTTATGGGGGAGCGACCCATGATTGGTCAAAAGCGGTGAGGAAAGACTCAAAGATCAGGGCGCTATTTATTGGATCTCAAGAAAGAAGGGAAGAATCTAAACGGACCCGGCGAATCAGGCCAATCGCGGGGAATCCGGGTGTTACTCGGCCGTTAAGGGTAAGAGATTGAGAGAGATCTACGAAATAGGGGAGTAAATGTTGCTACTTTCTGATATCCAAGTTAGAGGACTGGATATTGGAAAGTGAGGGACTAGTTGATGGGGTGTGAACCCCGGTTCAAGAAGAATGGGGGAAGCCCAAAGAGAATAATATGCGGCCCAAGGGAAAAGGAGCGAAAGCCCAGAAAGTAATAAAACTCGAAAGAATATCAGACTGAGTCCGGGAGTCGAGCCGACTCCAAGGTCGGGGCGAGGACTCGGCGAAAGCGACAAGGAGCCGTTGAAGGGCATTTAAGGAAGCATTGAAGAAGCCGGTCAAAGAGCCGTTGGGAGGCCCAGTAACGGCAGCCCAACAGCTCTCCGGCATAATTAGCAACCAAAGCCCAATTTAATGTATTTAAACCCGAATTTAAGGAGGGCCTACTATATAAAGGCCCCTCCCAGATGTAAAACAGGCGGGTCCATGCCCAGAAGATAGAGAGACACGTTTACTAAAATTATCCATTCCCTTCTATTTTTGAATAAGCTTTATTGAAAGGTGTATCCACCAACCAAGATTGTGTTGGACCTCCCTGGGCCCAAAAATCCTAAAACCAACAATACCCTTAGGGGTCGTTTGGTTCACGGAATGTCAGATTACCTTAGGGAATGTTAGATTGCTGGGAATGTTAGATTACTGGGAATGTTAGATTCCTGTGTTTGGTTAAAATTGAGGTATGTAATATAATCATGTTTGGATTAGGGTTATCTTTTATACACACTATAATATCTTAACATATTTTCATATATTTTAATAAATTTAAAAATTAAAATAAATAAATAACATAACGGTATCTATATAATTACATAATTTTAAAATATTAACTAAAATCTTGAACATGAGAAACAAAATTATTTTATATGCTAACATAACATAATAAAAATAAAAAAAATAATTATATATATATATATATAATAAACTAACATAACCAACGTTATCTTACATTACCTAAGATTTTGAAGGGAATCACATTCCCTTCAAAATCCTGTGGAGGGAATGTGACATTCCTTGGGAATGTTAGGGGTCGTTTACTAACTTGGAAAAATGGAGGATTTTCCAGAAAAATGGAGAAATTGAGAATGGAAAAAATAAAAATTGGAGATGTTGTTTACTAAATTTCTTTTTCCAAATGCCTTTTCTATCTCCATTCTTCCGTTTCTATATGATTTTGGAGAAAGGAAATTTTGAGTTCTCCATTTGGAGGATTGGAAAAAATGCGCGTGAATAGTGTATATTGACCCTAAAGTCCAGTGTTCAAATCTTGTCTTGGGCGCATTCCTTTGTTTCTTTTTTCCTCTTCTTCTTTTCATTCCTCTTTATTTTTTATTCCTCATCAATTTCTTTT